CCAGAGACTCCAGGGCAAGTGAGAGAAGAATTAGAACTCCCAGCCTTTAAGGAAACATTTCCTTCCTTTCTCAGCTGTTCAATCTCCCCTGCTTGGATGAATCTATGCTCTTACGGTTACTCTTTCATATCTTCTCCTGTATGAGTCTTTTTGACTTTTAAAGCCCTTCACAATCCAGTCGCAACCTTCCAGATTCATTATATATTAATTTCCTTCTCATATTCTGTAGTCTGGCCAGACTGGTCTTCCCTAATCCTAACACAATACTTCATCTCCTCTCTCCAAACTTCTATGCTTCCGCGTCCTATGCCTGGAATGTACTCCCTCCTCGACTCTGACCTTTGGAATCCCTCTCTTCCTTCATTCACTTCCTTCTACATGAAGCCTTCCCTAAACTTCTATTCAACTGCTAGTGCCCTCACTCTCAAACTACCTTTCATTTAACTATTTTAAATTTATTTGTATGTACATTTATATGTGTGGTTGTTGCCTCCTTCAATAGAATATAAACTCCAATGCATAAGAATTGTTTAATGTTTTCTAGCCTTTGTACCCTCAGGCACCCTCAGTGCCTGTCCATAAGTGTTTAATAAATATTTGCTGATTGATTGATTCTCTTAATATTTTCTGGGTACCAGCATAGCCCCAGGGCCTTCTGATCTATTGTCTCCCACTCTTTTCAGGTAATCAGACCATCTCCTTTTCTGGTCATGCTGGTTGGTGTCATTTTTCAGATAAGTGTCTTGAAATAACAAACCACAAAGCCCTTACACCCATGCTAGGCCTTTCCATTGTCCTTAGGACAACGGCAGTTTCCTCACTGTCATCCTCAAGTCCACGTTCTCACTCACCTCACATATCCAATTTGTTGCCAAGTCTCATTTCTTTTTTCACATCTCTCATCTATGTCCCCTCCTCTCCACCATCCCCTGTCAAGGCCCTCAGCGCCTCTCATCTGGACTATTGCACTAGCCAATCTCCCTGACTTGCCATCTCTCTGCATGCCTGCAGTCCGTCCTCCTCTCTGCTGCCAGTGATTTTCCTCTCTCATTAGAATGTGAGTTCCCTGAGGGCAGGAATTGGTTTTTTGCCTTTCTTGGCATTCCCATTGCTTAGCATAAGGCCTGGCACGCAGTGGGTGAGCTTGTGTGGTTGCCTGACCGCCAGAGGTCCAGCATCCCCTGCAGCAAAAGCATCAGTTTTAAAACCAATATTCTCAGATGCTCACAACTAATTTTTTACAACTATTCCCCTGGGGAAAATCATAGGTTCATACATTTAGAGACCTGAGGGACTTTCAAGGTCATATAACCCAACCCCCTCATTTTACAGATGAGGAAACAGAAGCTGGACAAGTTAAATGACTTGGCCAGGATTACTCAGGTATTAACTTGGCAGAATCAGATTCTGAACGCAGATCTGCTGGCTCCAAATTCCATGCTCTTTCTATTCAGTGCCTATTATTATTATTCCACCTTAAATTTCTCTGACTCCAGCCTTCTTCCCTCCTAGGTTAGTGAAAGGTATGAGATTGCTGGCCTACTCCCCAGTTCTGAGCCGCAGAGGCTCTCCCAAGTACAGCACTAGTAGGGCCAAGGCCCTCCATGCCACTGGCAGGCTCAGGACATAGGCAAGAACAGCAAAAGAAGGGGAAGTTAGACCCCCTAGGCTCCTGAAGTGGGTCGTCTTTGCTTCCAGAGGCCATGCAGCGCATGTAGCCAAAGCAGAGCAGGCTGCAGTCCCCAAATAGAGGCCCACCCCTAGAATCTGAGCCACGGGATCAAAAAGCACTACCCTCTGAAATTGAAGCCCGTAGGAGATTACACAAAATGCATGAGATCAGCCTCTTGCTGAAGTATGTACGAGATAGCTTACAAGTGCGGGCGGCCTTTGAAAGGGCAGGCTCTGATATGTGTGCTCCCCAAAGGCTCTGTCTTCTAACAATCCCAAGGTTCCTTTCCCGCATATCCTACGCCCAGCCATTAGCGGTTATTCCCCTTCTTAGAAGTCCTCCGAAGGGCTCTCCCTCTGACAGAACACAACTAGACTGGGTGCACCTGGTCCTTGGATAAGGTCCCACTGGTTATTCCCGCCTGTCTCCCAAACACCCTCATTAGTACGGCCGGCAGATACAAACTCGCTACCCCTCCTGAGCAGCTGTCAGTGTCTGGTGCCGGAAAAAAAAAAAAAGACTTCCTGGAGCCCATGGTGTCCAGATACTTGATACTGGGTCGCTCATGCCAGCCTGTGTGTCTAATGCTATAAATTCAGCTGATTAGAGCTATTTTTCCAGTGGCCCCCTTTGTGGTCCTTTGACTTTTCCCTCTTCCCCTGCTCAGTGATTTGTTGAACAGATGCTTCCACGCCTTCTTTTTATTTTAAATTGATCGATATGCTTAGTTTCCACACCACAGACAGTTCCTAGTAGACAACCAAATGCACCTCCCCGTGGAGTACATTCCCTGAAAAACCATTTCATCAATCGTTAACAGAAGGGAGGAATGCGCCCTCTAATGGTAGTGCTCCTGTGCTAACCATCCGTTAACAACCCTCGTGTTTTTTCAGGATTTTGTTTCTTCGCCCCATTGGCTTCACACTTACTAGCTGTGTGACCTTGGGCAAGTCACATAACCTCTGTTTGCCTCAGTTTCCTCAACTGTAAAATGGGGATAATAATAATAATAATAATCAAATGAGATAATAAATGAGATAATAGCCAGTAGCTGGCACATAGTGTGACAAAATGCTAGTTAGCCTCCTCCTCCTCATTATCATTATTATGATTATTATTAACAAGTTTCGCTGAACTGTTCATGTTCGCCACTCCTTGTATATACCTAATTATTAACATGTTGTTTCCTTCATTAGAATGAGAACTCCTTAAGGGCAGAGGCTGTTTTTACCCTTTTGTGTGTGTGTGTCCCCAGTGCGAGCATAGTACCTGTCAAACTGTTGTCGTTCAGTTGTGTATGACTCTTCATGACCCTGTGGACCATACTTTCCATGGGATTTTCTTGGCAAAGATACTGGAGTGGTATGCAACTTTCTTCTCCAGTGGATTAAGGCACACAAAGGTTAAGTGACTTGCCCAAGGTCATACAAGCTAGTAAATGTTTGAGGCTGGATTTGAACTCACATCTTCCTGACTCCAGGCCCATCTAGCTGCCAGCCTGGCAAATAGTAAGTGCTTAATAAATGCTTTTTGATTGATTGATTGATTACTTCCAGCTGGGGACAACTGGAGTTTTTGATGAAAGAAGTCACATTTTAGCTGGATCTTGAAGGACAAATAGATTTCTGGAGGGGAAGAGGCATCAGGTGAGGGCATCCCAGGCATTTAGAATAAGGAGGGGAAGGGAGAAATTTTTAAATGCTATTAAAGATGAGTGGGTGGTCCAGTCTGACTGAAGCAGAGAGTCTCTGAAGGGAAATGAGTTAAAAAAAAATAAGGTAGGAAAGCTAGAGAGATACCAAATTGCAAAGGGCTAAGGAGTCTACAATTGATTAGATCGTCTTCCTCATGATTTTTTTATTCTGGCTCTCTCAGATTCATCAGGGCCTCATCCTGCCTTACCCAGAACCTGCCCTTCAGCGAGCTTACAATCGGAAATAAGCAACAGATGCAGGAAGACAGGCACACTGATGAGCAGATTAAGTTGAGAATGAGCACAAGTCTCCTGGAAACAACTTGAAATTATGTGAGAAAAGTCATTGAACACTCAGACCCAGCAGTCCTACTGCTAAGCCATGCCCAGAGTAGTTAAAAGACAGAAGGAAGGGTCCCATGTATATAACATTTATAGCATGATATTTCCAGCACCTAGCAGGTATTCCACAGATAGTAGGCACTGTAATGTTATTGACTGATTAATTGATAGCACTTTTCAGAAGCAAAACAAGTAAGTTTTAATAGGTGTCCCTTCAGTGGTGAATAGCTAAAAAGGGAGTATATGAATGGGGTATGGGTATATGAGGTATATGAACCATGTATGAATGAATCTGCAGTAAGAAATGATGGGGAAGAATTACATGAACTGATGCAGAGTGAAGTAAGCAGGACTAGGAGAAAATATACACAATTTCTACAAAAATGTAAAGGAAAACAATACTAAAAGACAACCAAAGCCAGAGAAATTGTAATGGCCAATCTTGATCCTAGAGAACATCCCTCCTCTTGTTAGAGAATTGGGCAGATAGAGGTACAGAATATTTCATGAGCTGTCTGATAAGATTAACTTGTTGGCTGGTTTGGGCTTAGTTGTTTTTGTTATACAGGAAAGGTTAAATTGGAGAGATTGAATTTGTTGGGAAAAGATTGTAGTCTAAAAAGCAAGTGGCCCCTGCCTACATATGTATAACCTATGACAAATTGTGTGCCTGATCAATAAAGGAGGAAGGGAGAGAAGTTGGCCCATTGAGGCCTCTTCTGGCCCTCTCATTCTATTATTTCTTGTGACCTGCCTAAGGTAGGCAGTGAATACTGCAGGCAGGACTTAAGTGAAGGACTTCTTACTCAGAATCTTTCTCCTCTCTCTTTCAATGGCACCTCGAGCTTCTGTAGGCTCATCCAGGGAGTAGCCTTAGTCACTGACCCTGCCTGTAGACTGCATAGCCAGGGAACAGGGGTGCTGACGATATGCTGATCCTGAAGCTGTGTACCCATTTATTTCATTAATTGTAGTTTCAGTAAAAACTTATCTTGAGCATTTCTCACCAGACGTGAAGAAGTGAGTTATTCCCCTTATTAGTTCAAATGTATCTTTCATGTGCCACTTTATGCATTTAATCACATTCTAAAATCAAGGCATTAAGTGTCTGTATGAAGCACTTTGGAAAAACACTATCACTAATTCAATATAGGTTAATGAGGAAGGGGCTGCTCATCCTCAAAAGGTAACTTTCTGAATAGAAGGTGAAATATGTATCACACCAACATTCCCTCTGTCCCAAAGTAGCTCATTCTGCACTGTTTTTTGGTTAATTAATTGATAGAATAAGCTATGCAAAGAACCCTGAAAATTGCAGGCTACAAGGAAGTTCAGCAAAACATCTATATGTCTCCAAGCTTGGTACTCACGAATGAGTCCTTGGGTTCACTGTTGCCATGTGCCAGAGGTTTCTGCTGCCACATTAGACTAGAGTTCCACAAATACAGCCAGGGCCTTCCAGACACACCAGAAAGCACGTTCACTCCACTTTCAGAAGTGAAGCCTCAAGAATCTCAGCACCCAGGGGGGCAGCATGGTGTAGAGGACAGAGCACTGGATTTGGAATCAGAAGACCTGCTCCGTCACTCAGGACCTGTGTGACCAGGGGCAAATTGCTGATCATCCCTGAGCCTCAGTTTCCTTATCTGTAAAACAAAGTTAGACTCTAAATTACTTCTTTTTTGGGGGGAGGAGGGGAAATCGGGGTTAAGTGACTTGCCTAGGGTCTCCCAACTAATGGGTGTCTGAAGCCAGGTTTTGAACTCAGATCCTCCTGACTCCAGGACCAGTGCTGTATCCACTGTACCACCTAGCTGTCCCTCTAAATTACTTTGAAGGTCTCTTTCAACTCTAAATCTATAATCCCTATGATTGTGCAAAATGAGGCATGGTCTTGGTGTAAATATCATATAGATACAAGTCAAAATAGGTCAGGTAGCTTGCATAGGTCATCTTTGGAAAACGAAATTTCCTCATCATGGGGTGAATCATCCAGAAATAGATCTAGCTGTTTGCAGGGGTTCTGAACGGGGCCACGCAGTTGTGGCTGATTGGTTGATTGGTTGTTGATGGATGTATTTCAGCAGAATTGGTTTCCTTTATCAGCCAGTGGATTTTATTTGATGCATTTAAAAACATTATTCTGAGAAGGGATCCATAAGTTTTATCAAACTGCCTAAGGGGTCCATAATACAAAATAGGTTAAGAACCTCTGAGCTAATGGGGCCTGTTTTAGGTGAAGCAGCCCCAATAAAGGTCAAGTAAGTGAAAGGGGCCAGGTCACAGAGCAGCACCAACCTGAGGTTCCCAGGCCTCATGGCACTAGAGGTATAGTTAGGCAAATGCTCTCAATTATTTTGTCTTAGACAAAACTCTGTTGCAGATGTACCCTCATGTTTACAATCTCATGGTGCTCAAACTGTGCATGCCCATTGATCCAGCAATACTACTACTAGATCTGTATCCCAAAGAGATCATAAAAGGGGGAGAAGGACCCACATGGACAAAAATAGTTACAGCAGCTCTTTTTGTGGTGGCAAAGAATTGGAAATTGAGAGGATGCCCGTCAATTGGGGAACGGCTGAACAAGTTGTGGTATATGAATGTAATGGAATACTATTGTGCTCTAAGAAATAATGAGCAGGTGGACTTCAGAAAAACCTGGAAAGACTTGGTGTATGGGTCTGATGCTGAGTGAAGTGAGCAGAACCAGGAGTCAATCACACACAGTAACAGCCAGATTGTGCGATGATCAACTATGATAGACTTAGCTCTTCTCAGCAATATAAGGATCTAACACAATTCCAAAAAGACTCATGATGGAAAATGTTATCCACATCCAGAGAAATAACCATAGAGTCTGAATGTAGGTTGAAGCTCACTATTTTCACCTTTTTTTGTGTGTGTGGTTTTTCCCTTTTGTTCTGATTCTTCTTTCACAACATGACTAATGTGGAAATACGTTTAACATGATTGCACATGTATAACCTATATCAGACTGCTTGCTCTCTTGAGGATGGGAGGAAAGGAGGAAGAAAAATTTGGAATTCAAAATCTTATTAAAACCAAAAGTTTTTGAAAACTATCTTTACCTGTAATTAGAAAAAATAAAATACTATTTATTAAAATAAAAATAAAATAAAATCTCATGGTTCCCTGGACAGTCATAATTATGTTGTAGTGGAAAGAGTACTGGCTAGGGAGCCAAGAAGACTGACTATGTGAATAAGAGAATTGTCATTTGTTTGACACTGGCAAATTATTTCACTGCTCTCTAGATCCTGTTTTCTTGTTTGTTAAATATTGGAGTTGTATTAGGTAATCTCTCAAGGACTTCAAGGTCTAAAATTTTGTGATTCCTATGATTCTGCATATATTCTTTGGTGTGTAATGGGGGACAGCATATTCAAGACCCCCAAATCCCTGAAGAACAAATTCTTTCACAGTTGGATCTCTATAAAGCTGTGAGGACACCTAGTAGATCTGCTCAGGACATAGGGGCCACCAGCTCCTCACTTTAGTATCTCTACTGGGTGGGGCAGGAAGGGCCCTTCCATTCAGACTGATGCCCATCCTTATCCCCACATTTCTTTTTCCAACCTCCTCATCTTTGTCTAAGTACAACCTTCTCTCCTTTCTTTTTTCCCTCCTTCCCTTTCTTCCCTCATTTCCTTCTTATCCTTCCTCCATGCCTCCAGATCCATAACCTTCCCCATCCCCTCTTTGTCCAGGAATATCCTGCCTCAAACACCTAAGAATTCCAGAGCCACCAGAGGGCGGGAGCCTCAGAGAATCATCATTACTGATGACACTATGCCTCATTTCACCAGAGACATCTCATTAAAATTTGCTTGCCAATCAGAGAGAAGCCTGAAATGGGAACAGGGGTAAGGGAGACCATCCTGGCTTCCAAAAGAATAACAGATCATAACTGCATCCACCCTCCAAAAGACTTGTGGCCATCATTCTTGAAACGTACCTAAAGATAAAGCTTACTCTCCAAACTCTGTAGTTTCCCTAGTAACGAATTATAATTACCATACCTAAAATCATTTTTTAAACTTGTAAATACTTTCAATTTAATGGGGAAATGGATTCCATAAGTTTGCTCCTTACTCTGTAAAGTAGCCCCATTTATTTGTCCTAGATTTGCCAATCTCAAACTTAAAGGAAGCACCCCTTCTGGTGAGTATGAATTGTGATCACCCTCCTGCCCCCCATCTTCTCCCTCCCACCCTCCCCACCCCCACAAAAGACCTCTCCATTTTGTGATTTTATAGACTTTCATACTATTCCAGTAATCTTCTAGCCATTATCTTTCTAGACTGGGGAGTCACCATCATTTCAGCCTGTCCTCAGGACTCAGACCCAAATATCCTGTCCCAGAAGCAAAGGGACCACCCACAGCTTGAGAAACACATGGAGACAGACACCACTAAGCACTCTGGCCATCCCAAGCATTACTGCCTCTCACCGGGCAAAGGGGCTACCCGAAGCTGAGTCTAGCCCACGTGGATTCTGCTGGAACCCAAGGAAAACAAGAAGAAGGGAGAGGAAAAGCCCCCTGCCTGTTTTCCCCTTGGCTCTGCTGCCTGACTTCCTAGATGCGCATCCATATATTCTTAAGACCCAGAAGGTTTGTGGATATAGTTACCATCTTCCCATCATTAACTTACATGTATCTATGTCCCTGGGTAAGAATTTGCCTCTCTTTTGTTATGAAGAGGACTTCCAACAGGCTGCAAGGGAGGACCACTAAACGGAAATCTTCTCAGTGAAAACTGAAGCCTTTGCAAGGTTCCATGTATCATTTAAAGAGTTCAGTGGAGTTCTCTTGGGTTTCTACCTCAAGGATGTAGCTATCTCACTTTGCCCCCTTTTCCTCTTTAGTGAAGTCAAAATCAAGTCAACAAAGATTTAAGGCTTACTGCACCAGGTCCTTTGATAAGCACTAACAGTCTTTGCCTTCAAGCAGCTTGCATTCTAATGGGGGGAGATAACACATAAAGAAACTGAAAAGCTGAGAGGACTGAGGTATAGGTACCCATGTTGGGGCACGGTAGAGAAAGCCTGGAGGGTAGGAATAGAGCTGGAGAGGAATGAAGACATGGCTAGCCTGGGCATCCTCTTTATGTCTGCCTTCCTTTCCAGACTATACTCCTGACCCTGCAGACTTTCTCCAGCATGGAGCCCTTTTTTGCCCCACACTTTTTCAGTTTCTTATTGTTTGTTGTCTTCCCAAATTAGACTATAAGCTCCTTGTGGGCAGTAACTATCTTTTCCCAGTGCTTAGCATAGGGCCTGGCACTTAATAAGTGCTTAATAAATAAGTAAATAAATAAATGCTTGTTGACTTGACTCCATGAGGGCAGGGACAATTTCCTTTTAGTCTTCATGGTTTCAGGGCTTAGTGTGGGGCCATGTTAGTGGCTCAAAAACTTTTATTTTCAAAATTGAATTTCATAGGACCCAGTCCTAAGCCTCAAGTAATTACATTCTAATTGAACAAACAAAACATACACATGAACACGAAAAAATTTTAAGTGACCAGACTATCTATAGAACCAGAGTGTTGGAATAGTGTCGAAAAGTGAGGTCTCTGGGAGCTTTGTTGCAAAGACAGTTTAGGCCAAATGTGCAAAACAAGACACATTTTTGGACAAGGTTAATATGGGAATTTGTTTTGCTTGACAATGCATACTCATTCCAAGGGTGGTTTTATTTTTTTTCCCCCAATTAGGCTGGGAAGGAGGAGTGGAAGAGGAAAAAAATGCTTGCCAATTGAAAAAAAAAACTCCTTAAAGACAATTTAGGGCAAAGGGAGCCATCTGTAAGGAGGAAGGAAAACAAGTCACCCTCCCAAATCCTCTCAAGTTAGCAAGTCTCAGAGGTACTATAAATGTCCCTTCCCTGTCTTAATGACTCTGCCCAATAATTGAGAGGCTGGGTGAACAGTTAATAGCCTCACAGGCACATCTGTCCTTTGATTCAGGATCAAAGCTGATGTGGAATTGTATTAAAGTGTTGTCAGCTTCTGGGGGAAGGCCTGACTTATCCACTGAACAGGCAAGGTTGTGACCTGGGGGATATTCAGGGACAATAATTGAGTGGAAAAAACACTCTCTTCGGGCGTGTCCAATCATGGCAATTAGCCTGGCATGGAATCAGCACAGGGTGGGGAGGATATTAAGCGGCTCACTGAGAGGCGAGGAAGGAAGTCCCGTACGTGAAATATGCTGTAATGGAGGCCCGGCATAGCCACAGACTGCCTCCGGTGGTGTCTCTCCTTGCAGAAGAGGCTCAGGAGCTTGATTTCACCAGAGTCAAGATGATGTGGAAGAAAAGCACTTTTAGAGATGATGGGTCATTCTTGCACATTCTGTAACTGGCTCTGGTCAGCTAACTCCATGGTAAAGTTGGGGGTTCTTTGGCTGGTTGCAGAGGCATTTAAAAAGGCCTATCAATTTCAGCTACTTCCTCTTGTTCTCATTTGGTGACTCCTTCCCTCCTGGCATCCAGTGTAAAACAAAACCAACAAAATATCAAGGCTATAGGGAGAGAGGCTACAGGGCCTTCTCCCCTCCGAGGCTATGGGCCTCACGCCTTAGCCTCTGTGTTTGTGCTTCTCTTTTCCAGGTGAAGGGAGCAGTCCTAGAGGAACCTTTTTCACTTCAAAAGGATCAGAGAGCATCTCAACATCCCAGCACTCCAGAATAAAGAGGGCATTGTCATGTCCTGGCATTCCAGGAGGGGTTTTTCAGTCAACCTAGCAATGATAACCTAGGGAGCAAGGAGTGACCATCGGGACAACTTAAGGAGCTAAAGTTTTCTCATTCAACGAGTATTTATTGCATCCTCACCGTGTGCCTAGCACTGCATTGGATGCTATGGGAGAGAGGTGGTCTCTGCTTTCTAGAACTTCACACTCTAATTGAGGAGATAAGTCTTACATGAAATTGTACTGTTCAAATCTTGAAAGTGAAATATTAAGAGCTAAACTAGGGGGTATGGCTGTTTTGTTCCCCCTCCAAAAAAAATTCATGTTATCACTTTTAAGATCTGATCACTACAACTTAATTGTGTAAAGTATCAATCCAAAAATCATTATGTATTTTGGATCGTTATGTATATTCAATTATATCATTGTACCAATTTATTGCAGCTGGAATCTTACTGCAGGGGTGTGCTAGAGTCAGCTTTATCTGGCTTGCTAAAGCCGACTGTTAAATTTTAACTATGACAATTTATACCTCAGATATTTTTTTTTCTTTTGGCTAGGCAATGGGGTTAAGTGACTTGCCCAGGGTCACACAAGCTAGTCTGCATTATGTGTCTGAGGTCGGATTTGAACTCAAGTCCTCCTGAATCCAGGGCCAGTGCTCTATCCACTGCGCCATCTAGCTGCCCCTATACCTCAAATATTGACAAATACTACAAATAAGGGATTGAGTTATTCTTTTGTTGATTGTCTAGAGTTAGGAAAGTGATGGAGAAAATGTTAATAATGCAGACTAAATGTAAAACTGTGTCACATACATTTTCCCCCCTTTGGGAAACTGGTTATTAAAAACTTACCAGCATAAAAAAATAAACTAGGGGGTACAGAATGTAGGTGTAGGAAGAGAGAGAGAGAGAGAGACAGAGAGAGAGACAGAGAGAGAGAGAGAGAGAGAGAGAGAGAGAAGAGAGAGAGAGAGAGAGATCCTTGTGGCCTGAAACAGCAGGGGACAATTCACTGAAGACAAAAGAACTGAGCTGGGCTTAGAGAAGGATAGCATTAATAATATTTCAGTGTCAGTGGAACATTATGAAAATACACCGAGGAGAAAATAAGGAAGTTCAGAAGGGGACACAAGCAGGAGAGAGCTGGAATTATATGATGAAATTAATATAGACTTAAAAAACAAGTTATGCTTAACAGATTTTTGGCGTCATATAGAAGGCCCCTTTTCTGCTTTTTCTTCGTGTAAGGATATGTTCATATTTATTGCTATTATCAAGTTAATAACAATAAAAAAAGAAAATTAATTTTAATAGCCGATTGCACTCCCCAGTGAAATGTAAGCTCCTTAAAGCAGGAAATTTTGCCTCATTTTCTTCCTGTGCAAAATGAGATGGTTGTACTAGATGCCTGAGGTCCCTTTCCCCTCTAAATCCTGATTCCTCACAAGCCTCACCTTACTGAATCTGAGGCTCAGAAAGGTTAAATGATTGACCCAAGGTCACATAGCTAATAAGTGTTAGAGCTGAGGGCCAGATCACAGAGGATTCTGAGAACCTTGCAGAGCCATCTGCATTTGATTTGCTAGGCAATAAGGAGTCAGTTCGGTTCTTCAGCCAGGGAATGGTATAGTGAAACTGGATGAAGATGGAATAGACTGTTCCAAAAACAATCAAGCAACAGACACTTATTAAGCACCTGCTGTGTTTGAGGCTCCATCCTGGACACTGGGGATATGAAAATGAAATAGCTTTCCCAAGGAGCTTACAGATAAGCCCTGACTTAATGATGGCCAAATGGAAGCCTAGTTTTACTTATTAGTGAGCTTCATGAATTGGAAAGTATCCAAAAATGCCTCTAGACTGAGCCAGGTGGAGCACGTATGGGGAGAAAGAGTGATACTGCTCCTCCTAGCTTCCAAAATCCCAGAACACCTTGCCACCCCATAGGAGCTGGAGTTCCCATGGGCAAGGCTATGGGCCTTGGGCTAAGGGCTATGGGGAGGGGATCGAGAGATAGCTTTACATCCTTTTGCTTCTTCATCCTCTCCCCCTCCCCCACTCCCATCTCATCCAAGAGACAATATAGACAATTTGAAGGCAATAGCAAGAGTGGGGAGATAGGCACGGCATATGCCTCCCTATTAGGCGTAAAAAAAAAAACTCCATAGGGAGAAAATAGTGAGTAATATCACTAAGACAAGGTATTTGTGTGTTCAAGGCACATGGTATAATGGGAAAGAGACTCAGACTTGGGATTCTCTGAGGAGAAAACTGGGTCAGAATAGTCAGATGACCCAGATTTGAATCCTGCTTCTGCTACTTACTGCTTGTGTGACCTTAGGTAAGTCACTTAACCTGAAATCCCACTTTCTACAGGAAGCCTTTCCCAATCCCTCTTAATTCTAATGCCTTCCCTTTGTTGATTGCTTCCAATTTATCCTGTATATAGCTCATTTGTACACAGTTATTTGTATATTGTCTCCTTCCTTAGTGGGTGAGCAAGGGTAGGAACTGTCTTTTATCTTTCTTTGTATGCCCAGCACCTAGCAGTTACACAGTAGGTGCTTAATTAATGTTTATTAATTGATTGACTAAACCTGCTGGACCTCAGGGTTCCTTATTTGTAAAATGAGGGGGCTGGACTGGACTACTCTAGCATCTCCAATGGCCCTTGCTTTTTTAAAAAAGATTGAAAAGGGGAAGAAAAAAAAGCAGTTCAGCAAAACTCACCGAACACATTAACTGAGACTAGTATCAAATTTACTGATTCACCCCCATAGTCCTCCACCTCTGCCAGGGAAGGAGGTTTTCTGCTCCAAGCTTTCTGGCACCCTAATCGAGTATTCCTTTTACCACACCCACCCACCTTTTCTACAATCACAGGATAATGAGTTGAAAGGGCTCGTGAGAGAACTGGTCCAATTCCTTCATTTTACAAACAAGGAAACTGAGGCCCACAGAGATTAAGTGAACCTAGGTGGTAAAGAGCAGAGCCAAGATTTGAACCCAATTTCTCAGACTCCAAATCTAGTGCTCTTGACAAAACTGTAATACACTGTCTCCAGCCGCACACCTATCCTCAAACCAGGGGGTAGTCCTGCTCTTTCCCTAACGTTACAGACTTAAAAACAGGATTGGGAAGTTGTTTTGGGGGTTGTTTTTTTTTAACTCCAATCTCCTGATGTGATTGCCAGTGTTCTTCACAAAAGGGATATGCTACTTAATAGAGCAGGAAGCTGACTGCGATTTGGAGGCTTCTCCCCTCAGCCAGGCATGCTGACTAGACCTTCAACATCCATCTATTATGGAAATAATGAGAGCATGAGTAAAAGAGACTCAATTATGAGATACTCAGGAAAGATTCTACTGCATATCTCAGCAAAAAAAAAATCCTACCTAGACAGAAACACAGACATCAACAAAAGTACAACTGAGAGACTTCATTTACTCATTACTCAAAAGGCCAGAATGACAGGGGTGGTTTTTGACATATGGGGTACAGGCCTTTATTGTTTTCCTAATGATCCAGGGTCTAACCACCACGTAAGCCTTCTGGACCAAACTCGGAATCCATCTTACCCTTATCAGGTTTCTTTCAGTAAGTACTACTCACCCCTCCAGGTTCCATACTACGGAGCAGATATCAGGACCCAGAATCTAGGCGTCTATATGTGACCTAAGCTTACCCAAATTCTCAAGCTCCTCTTGTCCAAGCAAGCAGTGTCATGCTCTTTACAAGTATCTCACTTGACCCTCACGACAACTCTGTGAGGCAGATGCTATTACTATCCCCATTTTGCGGTTGGGAAAACTAAGGCAGAGAGATGTTAAATGCCTTGCGCCCAGGGTTCACACAGCTAAATAAGTGTTAAGAGGCTGGATTGGAACTCAGGTCTTCCTGACACCAGGCCCAGTGCTCTATCCACTATACTACCCAGTTCATTGCCTTATACACCTCTGATTTTTTATTTACCTGAAGCATAAGAAATTATGTTCCAGACTGACTTTAATCGTGTGAATCACTGTTTCAAGTATATTTCATATAAATAATATTTGTTGGATTCTGCTACTCTCTTCAGTTTTACAGGTTAAGTTCATCCATATCCTCTTCCACTTTGAGTGGGTTCATCCAATTCATGTTCATACTTATCAGTGTTAACTGTGTATTCCCCTCCTTCCTATCATCTTGAACTTTTCCCTCTCTTTACAAAGAAGGTAGTGAAAGATAAGTTTGCAGAACACTTGATCTAAAACCAACACAGTATGTTTCTGCTCTACTGCTCCTCTTCTTTTCCCCTTGCCTGGCTCCCAATCAGAGATTTTGTATTTCTTTCCTTTTAATTCCCCCTTCCTGTTCACCTCTCTAACATTAGCCTTTGTTGGCTTATAACTAAGCCCTCACTTTTAAACCTCTATCTCCCCCATCTCTGTCTCTGCCTATTTCCCTATTGAAGTGACTGTTATTTCAACACCAGATGATGTGTGTGCTCAACCCTTCTTTGGTTCAGATGAAAGTTAGGTTCATAGGATGCAGTTTTCCCTCAACCCTTCCGGGTTTGTATGTTCTCAAATTCAGGCACTCCCTTTTATTATGTGAAAATAAAGTCCCTCTCCTTCCTCTTTCTTTTTTACTAATATATTTCCCTTTTCTTTCTCATCTTAGAATCATAGACTTAAGAGTTTAAATAGGTCTTACAGGCCAACACGGTTATTTTAGATGAGGAAATGGAGACACAGAAAGATTAAGTGACTTTCCCAGGGTCACAGAGCCAGTATGTCAGAAGAAGGTCTTGAACTCAGGTCTTCCTGACTCTAAGGCTAGTTCAACATCTACTACATCAAGCTGCCTCTCAAACACAGCAAAAGCACCACCAGCAGCAGCACTACATCCTCTATCTTACTTAACTCCCTCTATGACCCCTAAATACATCAGGGTTCTAAGAAGCCATTTATTCTTTCCATTTTAAAATGTAAGCACTTCATCATTGTGCGGTATTCATCCTAAATGCCCAGATGCATTTACTTTTCTTGTTTTCTTCTGAATCCTGTGGTTGCATTTCAAAGATTCTACTCAGCTCTGATCTTTTCTTTGGAAATGCTTGAAAGTCTTCCATTTTTTCCCCTGTAGGAATATACTCAGTTTTTCTAGGTAAGTTATTCTTGGTTGTAAGCCTTTATATTTTATCTTTTGGAATGTTATTCCGAGATCATCTCCTTTCAATCAGTAGCTGCCAAGACTTACATATTACCTGGTTTCTTGGTGCCTTAACTTTTTTTTCTCCATCTTTGGAATATTTTTTTTCTTCAACCTGGAAGCTCCTGACTTTGGCTAAGATGTTCCTGGGGATTTTCATTTTAGGATTTCTTTTAGGATGAGGGGATTCTTCACATGTTCACTTTGCCATCTAGTTCTAATGGATCTGGGCAGTTTTCATTTATAATTACCTGAAATATGGTATGCAGAATTTCTTTTGTTATGCTTTTCAGGTAAACATGATTCTTAGATATGTTTTCTAAGTGTTTTTTTTTAGTAGCAGATTACATATTCTACCTTTTCAATCTATTGATTTTGCTTTAATATTTCTTAACTCATGAAATCATTCTTTAGTTTGGCCCATTCTAATTTTTAGGAAGTCCATTTTGTGGTTTAGAACTGTCCTAATCTAGTCTCCTTCCCATTCCATCTTTCTTAGCTTTTATTTAACATTACATTTAAAATAATCTCTTGGACCATTCTCCCAGATAGTCTTGTAGTCCACACGTCCAGGTCATTCTTTGCTTTGACACCCTACTTGGATTTATGGAGTTAAGTTTCTTCTTCTGGCTTCATCTCTTGGACTTTCTCAATCTATACTGCATTCAGCATTTTCTATTTACTCTTATCTCCAGACTTGTTTCTTGATTGGGAATATGTTTAAGTCTGACCGTACTCTTTCCTAAATCCTTGGATGGTTTTGCCTGGCCTTCCTAAATGAGGGTACTAAGACTAGGCCCTGACCTCTAAAAGAATTATTGAGTTTTGACACAGTTTCCTAATAGGCTGGCTTAGGTTACAGCCTCAGCCTTTTCTCTATATCTCCCTTTTACAGTCCTATATCCAGAGTTGGCTCTATCCCTTTCTGTGATCCTGATAAGCTCCAAACAGATGCTACCAATTACATTGATAGCAGGGTTCCTTAAAACAAATAAAAACCCTCAAGTGCTTTCCTTCCTAGGTGCTGACAGCCCCCTCTCCTGATGTGACTCAGGCATGGGCTTCTTGGATTCAGGAATGGTCCTGGCTCCTGCTATTGTTTGGGCAGGGCTGCTCTGGGTCCGGTCTAGCCCTCTCTCCAATGGTGGGACTGGACTGCTTATGTTGTACGCCTGCTGTCTATCCTGGCTTCTCTTGTTCAGATCCTCTCCAGGTTTTTTTGTTCAGTCTGCAATGAAGATTATAATTGTTTCTCTTTAGCTTCCTTTCTTTGTTTCCTCTGGTGCATTTTGAGTCTGTTGGGAGGTGGTAGAGGAGGATCTAGGCTCCTTCAGGTCCTAGTACACAGCCATCTCGGTCAGAAAACCTGGATGGATGTCACTGACATAAAAAATGTCAAAACATACTAAAATGTAATTTAATTTGTTAAAAATACTTGTCACCGTGCATTTTTAGGGGAAAGCATCATAGGGGAAAGCAACAAAAGAGAGTATACAGGACCTTCAAAAAAGATTCAGGACTGCTCTTTTCCTCAAGGCAATGGAACAATGACAGTACAAAAATGTAAAGATGTAGTGGAAACCTCTTCTTGGCTGTTACTTCTTACACATACATATGCCCACACACTGCACTGGGTTAGGCATGCAGTTGAAGTGAAGTATTAAAGAGAGACGCCACAAAGCTTCATACTGTTTCTATTAGACAGTGAGTTCCTCGAAGGACCATCTTTTGCCTTTCTTTGTATTCCTAGCACCTAGCATGGCATAGAGTAGGCACTTAATGAATGCTTCTTGAGTGATGGGTAAAGAAATAGTAAGGCTAATTACATCTGAATGCCACTGAAATAACCAAACAGTAGAGGAAGAACGAGAAAGTGCAGCTAGGTGGCACAGTGGATAGAGCACCAGCCCTGGAGCCAGGAGGACCTGAGTTCAAATCTGACCTCAGACACCTAACACTCGCTGGCTGTGTGACCCTGGGCAAGTCACTTAATCCCATTGCCTAGCCAAAAAAAAAAAAAGCTTCCCCGCCCCCTCCCCCAAAAAAAAGAATGAGAAAGAAACCTGAACATTGCTGAGGTTAAATTATGTTGCACACCTCCCATTTAGGAAGTCAGGAAATGTTCAATATATTTCAGAAAGACCCTTCTAAATGTTTAAAAAACATTTTGAATGTCATGCTTGTAGAACTCCACAGAATCTTCCACTAAATCCTCCTCTGACACCTCATCATGGTATGGAATTAACCCTGGATTCTTTAGGGTTATATCAATGAAGCATAAGCTCTGGCAGGACAGATATACTGCTGTGGACCAAATGTCTCAATGGAAAAGCAGCAGCCTAAGTGAAATTGGGGGTCTTACCACCATTTGGTTTTCTAATCAGGTCATGAATTTTTTCAGCAACAAAAATTCACCACTAAGATATAGAGGGGTTACAAACCACATAAGGGCAGGGAACATACACTGATGAAAACTCATCTTCAAGTACTGAATTACGAACACACCAGCAACAAATCTTGATATCAGAGGACACTGTTCTAAGTGACACAAGCTGTGGCTATAGTTTTCTTATCGATACCATCTTGGAAAAACAGACATACCCTATAGCTGTCATAGAATAATATAAAGCCAGGAAAAAAGTCTCATCGCCTACTCACTGTAATCTTTCAAACTACAGTTTAAGAGATTATAGACACAGTATCTGTAGCAAGTTCAAAACCTTAGGGTAGAGCAAAAGGAGAAGAAAAAAGAAAAACATTGGTTTTCTCAGCCCTGAGTATTACCTAGTATATTTTAGACCACCCAAAAAAGTTCTTTAATCACAAAAAGAGCTGAAATTGATGTTTCCTTTTATTTCTTCCATTATAATTTGCTGCAATTCAGTAAGTTCATTATTCTCCAAACTCCCTTCAGTATTTAAGGAAAGAAAAAAAAACAAACTAGGAACAAATCCACCATCTAAAGTTAGCAAATATACAGTGGGTCTACGGAGAAGTTAACTTTGGCCGCCAGGAAGGGTGAAACTAGGTTGCGCTCAGCAAGCACTTATTAAGTACCTACTATGTGCCAGGGGTATGTTAAGCACTGGGGATCATGACAAAAGACAAAAAGTCCCTGCTTTTAAGAAGCCTATATTTTATCAATAAGACATTGAGAGGTTCTAATAAGTAGCAATGATAAGTACCCCACAACAAGGAAATTACAAGTCTGGAAGACTTGCTCTACCTTCTCCCTCCAACCTCATCCCCACAAAATAATTATGAAAGCCCAAGAAGTAGAAATTAAGGCAGTGGCTATAATGGCCACACAGAAAAGGCCTTAGGCAAGACTATCTACTTCCCAAAACTATTTGAAAAATCACTTTTCTATATTCCTAATTCTTAAAACTACCATAAGATTGGACCTAGAGTCTTTAATTTGAGATTATTAATAGGCACTAAATTCTTCTTAGGCATAAAGTAGAACCTAAAAGTAGCATCTCCGTTCATAAAAGGATTTGAAAGCACTCTTAGAAACAGAATTTCTATGCTGCACGGGTTTTTAAAAATACCTTGCACAGAGTAGGTGCTTATTATATCGTATTATATAATGTCTGTTGTATTTCATTTTTAAGATGTGTAGCTCACAGGTTTATGTTAACACCCACAAGCTTACCAGTAAGTTGTTTGTTAATAAGGAGATACAAGAAGAGAGATAAGCCTAAAGTAAGAGGTGTTGCCATTTCACAAGGTTTCTAAAGACACAAGCGCTCTGCACCTCTCTGAGATTTGTAAGTCAATCTGAAACAATCTGTTTATAGCCTGCTTTTGTTTGTTAAGTTTACATGGGCTGCTTAAACAAAAGAGTAAAACAAATGGACCTAATGAAATCTGGGAGTGATACTATATTTTATTTCACATTATTTATCTTGTAGACAACCAGGCCAATTTCTGCTACTGCAAAAGTTCACAGAAGATCTTGAACTTCTACACATTAGACATAATTAGAAGTCTTGTATAAAGTATTAACAACCACGGTTGCTTGCTTACTACTGTATTTTTTGCCTGTCATTTAGTAGAAAAATGATTTACCATTGAGTTAATGGACTCGAGTGCAAAAAAAATTTTTTAAAAGCAAACCTAGATTCCAATTTTGTATACTGAGATTTTGAGAGTTTTATTTATACTACTAGCTAGATAAAAAGCATACATATTGTGTCTGTTGTACAGTCAATACAATTGCAACTTTTTCTACTTAAATTCTCTATACAAAGTCATTGCCAACTGATATGGTCATTGATGGCATAGGGCTTAGAATAACCAAAAGGTATAAAAAACGAGTTTGCAGTCTTGCCCCAAGATACAAAAACTGAATTTCAAACAATGTCATTAACATACATGATTTAAACTGTATACGAAAAATCACACATCAAATCAAGTACAAAAATAGTTAAACTACCCATTATGAACAACTGTAATGTTTCCATTATTCTGCACAGTATTTTAACACAGATTTTAGCAGTTTCCAAAATACTAGTTATTCATTATTTAGTTTAAGCATCATCAGCTTTGCAGAACAGTGTGACATTTAAGTGGAGTGATAATACTCCTTTTAGTGTTTTAAAAATACAAAAGTTTTCCCTATGAATTAATGAAGGAAAGCAATTTCCTATCCCAGGCTTTTTTAGTAACCAGACCCAATGCCCAGAAATTTAGGAAGAATATAGCTACTATTCTTCAACGGGCAGAGAAATACCTTTTGTTAATCACAGTTATCAGACAGAGAGCAAAATGTCATTTAAAAGAAGTTTCTGTCTAGTGATAAGGAATTTTCAAATATGTACATACATATTATGTTAGCCTTGGCAAATGTAAAATTGAAGCTGCAAGCTACAATATGAATTAAAATTTTGTCTTCACTTGTTCAAGTTTCAAAGAAATTATTCTGGGGAGAGCTTACATTGAAATTTTTGTGACCAAATATCCTTAAATGCAGAGTCAAGTTGCTCTTAATAATATTAACTCACCCACATGGCACAGTATTTTTGATTAAGATATATGCTTAACAGTAACCACTCACATACAGAATGAGATAGAGGTGAATTACCTTTGAGAACTTTCTCTGCATTTAAACATTAGCAATGTTGAATTTATTCTGTAGAATAACATCTATAGATTATGTATATAGGTTTTGCACACAAAAGGCTCTACTATGTGCTAAGGGTTACATTTTCCAGCACTGGAATGATTCCTTCATATATAGCTAGTGAGGACTTCATCTGGATTGTTTTCCCCTATTTCAAGCTCTGAGTCATGCCTCATACCTGAACAAGTCTCTAAATAGGGGGAAATTTTTAAACTCTCCAGTTTCTGTCTGCTAGGAGCAAGGCAGCAAACACATTTTCCAACCTTTTATGAAAAGATTAAGCAGAACAAAAGTAAAATATATCTTCAGGTTATAAACAGGATTGTATTTTACAGTTCACTATCCTGACACATGGCCACGGCACAGAGACCTCAGTCTAATGGCTGTGGGTCTGCAATAGGCATGGTATGGAGTACTTCATCTAGGAGTTGGAGGGCACGATGTAAATGAATCTCAATCCAGCAAGGTGTTTCTTTGATGCTTTGCCTTGGGTAGTCAGGGCCCCAGCCTTTTACAAAACTCATCCTGAGTATGCATAAGCGGCGCAGGTCATCCACGCCAATCCCAGCAGCCGCTGACAGACCTAACAGGAGAGAAGGGAGTATGTCAGACAGACAGGTTGACATCCCCCCTCCTCCCCACATTCCAAGGTAGGTAAAACAACCAGTTTTTCTTCAGTATCTCCTCAGCATACAATCTCTTTGCCAAAGTGCCAAGAAACAACGGGAGACCTTGACTTGACAAAAAGGTCTGAAAACACTTTGGGCTGAGGTGGCTTGCTGCTCACAAGTGTGTCTACCAATATAAAATATCAAATGACCACAATCTAGAAACACTCCACCTAACTTTGTCTTTAGAAGTGGAGGTAAAGGTATAAGAGACAACTCACATTTAGGCCATAGTAGTACATAGATAATGGGTTGGTTACAAGAACCTTAGTGTCTACATCTATCATAACATAGCCTAGTTTGAAATAAAATATGGGGAGTAAAGAGATTGTTTCTATTTCTGGTTCCACTAGGATTTCTTTGACCTGAGATAACTTCTGTACCTCAATTTCCCAGTAAACAAAGTAGAGAAAGTGTTACTATGTTATTTAATGGGGGTGTTGGGATGAGAATGAGGATGTCGGTAACACTTTTGAGATCTCTGGTGAAAATATTTTATGTCATCAACAATTACATTGATGGTTTTGATGCCTGAAGAATTAAAAAAGCCAAGCTGTCGTCATTAAAAATTAAATGCTAGCTAACACTGAATTTTAAACTAAAGCTACAATGGAGATTATTCTATATCTCATTTTCAAGTCAGAACATATATAATCAATCTGAACCCATCAATATAACAATGAAACTAATGGGAAGAATTTGCATGTACTGTAGAGAAACCTGCAGGGCCACTGCAGTTTTCTTAGCCAGTGTGATTTGCTTACCACACTGAAGAGGTTAAGAACAGGGGTTGAATGAATCACTAGTTATGCCTTCAGACGTGGAAGATGGTGCCACGTGTTTCCATCATAAAAGTCTATAGTCAGCAGTTTAACTCTGCAGTAAAAAATTCCCCATCAGTGTGAAACCTGGCACACAGTTCAATTTTACCCTAAAATTAAAAAAAAGTTCTACACGTTATCAAATACCACCCTCACTCAGTTTTATCTCCATGCTTAGAATAATTTAACAATGAAAAAAACCCTGAGAGGTACCTGATTCTGAAATCAGGTTCCGCTTTCCTACTAAAGTAAAAAACTGCAGCCCACCCTAATAGAGCCTCTGGCCTGGTTTGGTAGGAAGAAGGGAGTAAAAAAAGGTCAACATGATAGCACAGTAACCTTTACCACTGTGACCCCACTCTCCTCTAGAAATTAAGGAAAAATTCAATTACTGTATAAAAGATTTGTAAACAAATTCATGTTACTTTCCTTAAGTAATATAATCCCAATAAGAAAGGCACTCATGACTTAAAGTAATTTACAGGCTGAGTTTATGAGGACAGAATACTAAGCATTAGCCTTTTTTTTTTTAAAGGGCAAATCAAAAGGATACTTACTGATAGCAGGGGCTATTCCACCTACTGATCCTGGTCCAGGGATATTTCCTGCTACTGCTGCGGCCTGAGCAGCTGCTGCAGCTTGTGCAGTGGCAGCTTGCTGTTGCATCTGACGATGGCACTGGCGCAAATCAAATACCTTTTTAAAAAAAAGTATAAATTTTGCATTATTGAAAATAGCAAGAAAAAGTATTATAGACCAAACCTAGTACATCCTTACTATATACACTTTAAATTTGTAGCCCTAATTGTTTGGAACATAATATGTAGAGGCTATATTTAGTCTTTTATCTTGAAAAACTGGTAAAAATTTACATAGGAAAGGTGGTAGCCATTATATGTGTGTGTGTGTGTGTGTGTGTGTGTGTGTGTGTGTGTGTGTGTGTGTGTGTGTCTATGTTTCCACCTTTTGAGTTAGCTCTCACTGCTTTATCTGTTTCCTCCTGGGTGTGCTTATACTAAGAAGAATAGAGGGAAAATGTCTCTCCCCTTCTGTTCTTCATTCCTCTTGGCAGCATTAGACAATATGCTCAGGAAGACCAGTAAAAACGGCAGAGTAAGAAGCAGCAGTCTAGCCCAGCTTTCCCCACAACTATTCCCACAAAGACAAGCACCAGCCCAAGTAAGATGTGATCAGGAAACTGAAGGAGAAACCATACTGGAAAATTTTTCCAGCCTAAGATCATAAAGGTAGGTGACCAGAGGAGGAACTGTAGAGCAGCATCACAGATTCCACCTCCTGGGGTCCAGAGCAGGGAGAAGCCAGAAGTGCTAGACCTCTGACCTCTAAGCTCCTGGGGACCACACACACAAAGGCTGGACCTACAGTTCTATCTCTCTGAACCTGGAAAGGCTTCTAACTAGATGACCAGGGCTATGGCCAGTCACTGTCCACTGAAGCTGTACCCAAAAGCAAGTCTGCAGTTACTCTGCCTAAAACCAAACAGAGACTGGGAGCCTATAACATCCAGATGGGCAGGGATCAGACAGTGCCCTAGATCAGACTACTTGGGGACTGCCGAAAGTTTACAGCTCCCTGACTCAATCTACCTCTGTGATCTTTAAAAAAGACAGACATCAATACAAAGAGGACACAGCAACAAGACTCCAAGCAATACAAACAAGGACCATCTACGGTCATGACATTTCCTCCAGATGTTACTCACCCGAACACAAAGTCCCAATCTGGGAGGTAGTGGAGTACACTAAAAAAATCCCCAAAATAATGAGCTATTACATAGTTCTAGGGACATCTAAGGCACAAACTCAGAAGAGGAGAACAACTCCAAAATGCCTATGTGCAAAGCAGAAAAAAAAAACACAAACAAAAAATCCCAGGTTGGCCAAAAGACAAATTCAAAATCCTAGAAGAAATGAATCAAGTTTAAAAAAAAAAGATATAAATGAAATAAATATGATAGAAGAAATATTAGAAAAGAAATTAAAACTATGTAGTAAAGACTCAGAAGGAGAATTAACAGCTTAGTTCAAGAAGCAGCATGTGTCTGGCAAGTCAAACCACCACCATCACTTTGACCACCATTTTCCCTCAGACTCTAATGAAGACAACCCAGGAACCTAAACCCAAGAGCTCTGAGAAAAGCAAGGTTTCAGTGCCCTCTTGTCATCATCCCAGGAAGCAACCCCTGTGGAGATGCAGCCTTGCAACTATTCCACCAGGGGCTATAGTAACAGCTATTACAGTCAGAAAGCAAAATTCTTGCCACTGCCAAATAGTTCAACATCAGTAATTAATATGATTTTATCAGTGGAAATGACATTAAAGATGATTAACTGCCACCTACTTTGCTACTGTACCCTAAGGACTGTGAGATCTTTCCATCTGACTTGTAGCTGAAACCACCCATGTGTTGTCCCTCCCACTAGCACGTGAGCCCCTTAAGAACAGGCACTATCTTAGGGGCAGCCAGGTGGCGCAGTGGATAGAGCACCAGCCCTGAAGTCAAGAGCACCCGAGTTCAAATCGGGCCTCAGATCAAACACTTGACATTTACTAGCTGTGTGACCCTGGCCAAGTCACTTGACGGCCAACTGCTTTGAAAAAAGAAACAAAAAAATCATGAACCCATTTTGACTTTATTTTGGTATATGGCGTGAGATTTTGGTCTATACCTAGTTTCTGCCATATTCTTTTCCAGTTTTCTGAGCAGTTTTTTTCAAAAAGTGGGTTTTGGGGCTTATCAAATAATAGATTGCTATAGTCATTGACTACTGTGTCTTGCATATTTAACCTATTCCACTGATCCACCTCCCTATTTCTTAGCCAGTACCAAGCAGTTTTGATGACTGCTGCTTTATAATACAATTGAAGACCTGCTAGGCCACCTTCCCCTGCATTTCTTTTCATTAGTTCCCTTGATATTCTGGACCTTTTGTTCTTCCAAATGAATCTTGTTATTATTTTTTCTAACTCTATAAAATAATTTTTTGGTAGTTTTGATTGGTATGGCACTGAATAAGTAAATTAGCTTAGGCAGAATTGTCATTTTTATTATATTAGCTTGGCCTACCCATGAGCAACTGATGTTTTTCCAATTATTTAGATCTGACTTTATTTCTGTGAAAAGTGTTTTATATTTGTGTTCATATAGTTCCCGGGTTTGTTTCAATAGGTTGACTCCTAAATATTTTATAACGTCTACAATAAGTTTAAATGGAATTTCTCTTTCTATCTCTTGCTGTTAGGCTTTGTTGGTAATATATAGAAATGCCAATGATTTATGTGGGTTTATTTTATAGCCTACAACTTTGCTAAAGTTGTCTATTATTTCAAGTAGTTTTTTACTTGATTCTCTAGGTTTCTCTAAGTATACTATCATATCATCTGCAAAGAGTGATAGTTTTGCTTCTTCTTTGCCTATTCTAATACCTTCAATTTCTTTTTCTTCTCTTATTGCTAAGGCTAACGTTTCCAGTACGATATTGAATATTTAGATATAAAGGCTGATACTGTAAGCAAATTGGGAGAGCAAAGAATAGTTTACCTATCAGATCTATGGAGAACAGAAGAATTCATGACCAAACAAGAGATAGAGAGCATTACAAAAAGCAAAATGGATAATTTTGATTACATTAAACTGAAAAGTTTTTGCACAAACAAAGCCAATGCAACTAAGATTAGAAGGAAGGTAGAAAATTGGGAAAGAATTTTTACAATCAGTCTCTCTGATAATTGAGAATTAAGTCAAATTTATAAGAATACAAGCCATTCCCCAACTGATAAATGGTCAAAGGATATGAACAAACAGTTCTCAGATGAAGAAATTAAAGCCACCTGTGGTCATATGAAAAAATGCTCTAAATCATTATTGATTACAGAAAAATGCAAATCAAAACAACTCTGAGGTACCACATCACACCTATCAGACTGGCCAACATGACAAAACAGGAAAATGATAAATGTTGGAGAAGATGTGGGAAAATTGGAACACTAATGCATTGTTGGTGGAGTTGTGAAATGATACAACCATTTTGGAGAACAATTTGGAACTATACCCAACGGGCTATAAAAATGTGCATATACCCTTTGACCCAGCAATAGCAGTTCTAGGGCTATATCCCAGAGAGATCATACAAACAGGAAAAGGACCCACATGTACAAAAATATTCATAGCAGCTCTTTTTGTGGTGGCAAAGAATTGGAAATTGAGGTGATGCCCATCAATTGGGGAATGGCTGAGCAAATTGTGGTATATGAATGTAATGGAACACTATTGTGCTATAAGAAACGATGAACAGGCTGACTTTAGAAAAACCTGGAAAGACTTGTATGGTCTGATGCTGAGTGAAATGAACAAAACCAATAGAACATTGTAGACAAGAACAGCCATGCTGTGAGATGACTAATATTGATAAACTTAACCCTTCTCAGCATTACAAGGATCTAAGACATCCCCAGAGGCCTCGGGATGGAAAATGCTGTCCACATCCAAAGAAAGAACTATGAAAGTTGAAATGCTATTTTTTTTCTCTTCTGTTGAGTTTTGTTTCCTCTTTCTGATGGTTCCTCCTATTAGTTTTAATTTTTACTTACAACACCACTAATGTGAAAATATGTTTAATAGGAATGTAAATGTATAGCCTATATCAGATTTTGAGCTGTCTTGGGGAGGTTGGTGGGGAGGAAGGGGGAGAAAAATTTTAAACTCAAAAGCATATGGAAGTGTTTATTGATAAATCAAAATAAATTAATAAAATAAAAAAAAAAAGAACAGGCACTATCTTAATTTTTCTACTTGTATTCCCACTGCTTAGCACAGTACTTTGCACATACTAAATGCTTGATAAATGCTTTATTCATTCATTCAATCGAGAGGTACAAAATCTTACCCAAGTAACAGATGCCTTGAAATTTAGAACAGACCAAACAGAATATAAAGATTCAATAGGGGGCAGCTAGGTGGCACAGTGAATAGAGCACCAGTCCTGGAGTCAGGAGTACCTGAGTTCAAATTCGGCTTCAGACACATGACACTTACTAGCTGTGTGACTCTGGACAAGTCACTTAACGCCAACTGCCTCGCAAAAAATAAAAAATAAGATTCAATAGGAAATATAAAAGTCGAAAGTTTGAAAAAAGAAGGAAATATAAGATACTTCATCAAAAATGGCCTAGAAAACAGATCAAGGAGAGAGATTATTAAGACCACTGAGTTACACGAAAGCCATGACCAAAAACAAATAAACATACAAAAATCCTTGGACACTGCATTTCAAGAAATTATGGACAAAACTACCAGGACCTAGTACAACAAGAGGACAAAGTGAAATAAAAGAATCCAACAATCAAAACAATAATCAACATAATTCTCAAGTACTAATGACAAAGAATGTCACCTACATGTTGACAAAAGGGAGGTGGAGAAAACATGCAGAATAAGACACATTTTTGGAAATGGGTAATAATGAACTTTGTTTTCACTTGATTCTGCATATTTGATATGAGGATCGTGGTTTTTCCCCCCTCCCTGACAGGGGGAAAAAAAATAAATGCTTGGTAAAATTATGAAAAATTTAAATTTAAAAAAATCTACTGATAACCTTTTGGAAAAAAAAATCCCCAAATGAAAACTCCCAGGAACATTAGAGCTAAAATCCAGAGCTTCTAGGTCAAAGAAA